GGCGTGAGTTACACCAACGTTACCGGCTTCCACTTTTATTGCGGTCTTGTTAGAGCAGGGGTTCCCAACCACCGGGCCGCGGACCGGTCATTTGGTGCCGGGCTGCACAGAAAGAATAAATAACTTACATTCCTTCCGTTTTATTCATTCCGGAATCTGAAAGATGTTTTATTTTGAAAAATTACCGGATTCTCTGTTATATCAGTCTACAGCATGGTGTCAAACTCAAGGCCCGATCTGGCCCACCACATCATTTTTTGTGGCCCGCGAAAGCAAATCAAGCATGTCAACTTCCATGATGCTTGCTAAAATCTCTACCAACATAAAATTCTCATATGTAATAAATAAGAGACATATTGTCAGCATTTTCTTGTTACCAAACCCCTCATGACAGTAACTTAAACAGTAGTTAAATAAACCGTTATGATTGACTTTTTTTTTTTTTTCTTTTATGGGTTCAGTCATCACGGCCCTCCAAGGGAAACCGTAACTAAAATGTGGCCCATGACAAAAATGAGTTTGAAACCCCTGGTCTAAAGTATGTCACTCTTGATCCAGGTGAATGCGTGCTTCTCGGTCACGTGAGAGGTTACCGCATAAAAAAACAAACGTCTTTGAAAATTTTTTCGGCCCGGCCAGGAGGCCGAAGAGGAGCCTACGACTTTCAAGAAAGTGAAAGCTACATTTAATAGACGGTATCAGGAGTCTTTTTTCAAATACGGCTTTATCTCAACGGGAGATTCACACGCACTAAGCCTACTATGCATAATAAGTGGCGATGGTGAGTCGTATTCTTCATGCACTTTTAATTTGCGGCGTATCTTATTTTGAAGGCACATTTAAACGTTACCATAGCGACCAGAGAATGTTGCGGCCAGATAGGACGTTCCTCGTGTCATGATTTGTGTTTATTATTATGTTTCGAAAATACCACACTTCTCATGCCGCTCATATCATATTATATTGTTGTCTTAAAGGCCGGTCCGTGAAAATATTGTCTGACATGAAACCGGTCCGTGGGGCAAAAAAGGTTGGGGACCTCTGTGTTAGAGGGTTGTTGCAGAAAGGAACAAATTTTACATAATCCAAAAGTGAGTTTTCATTATGTAAATCTATCATCATGTTGCTAACACACACACAAAAAAAAAATCGAGTAGAAGTTTCCAACTTCCATACAGTAGATTCACTGCAGTAGTCACATTTCATGCTGTGAATAGCAAACAATTAAGCCCCCTGCCCCCTCACCCCCCCCCCAAAAAAAAACACCTAAAGCGAAGTATAATTGCCTGCTATAGTAGTCGGTAAGTGTTATGGTCAGGTCAGGGTTCACTCGGGGGGGAACTTGCACAGATGAATTCTGTAAATGACTAAACACAAATGGCAGGGGGTTGGCTCCATATCACAGCATTGTTGTTGTTGTTGTCGTCGTCTTCGTCATCCGGACAGTCGGTGGGCCCTGGCAGCCTGATGTTCATCAGGAACCTCCTGGACAAGATGTCGACCAATCAGCAGAACATCCTCAAGTTCATTGCCTGTAATGAGATCTTCTTGATGCCTGCCACTGTCTTCATGCTCTTCAGGTAGTGCACAAAACACGGCACACATGCTCTTTAAGTTTTTATTTATTATATATATATAGATATATATATATTAACATGCGAACGAAAATAGCGGCTCTCTTAGAACATATTTCAAACTAAGTTTAAAGATGACTTTGTCATGTGGAGAGGTATTGCATACATTGTTGTGTCCATCTAAAGGTGGCTTAACATTGTTGTGTCCATCTCTGAGGAATTATTTTGTTGATGATTTACAAACATTTGTTCAGAGATGCAGTTCTCGAACCGAAGCAATTTTTCCTCGCCTTTCTGCTCAGCCAGAGCAAACATCCAGCAAGGAGCACACAGCAATAACCAAAAACGGGCACATGCTGCGGACTCTGTAATGTCTGCTAACAATACAGGCTAAAGTTAGCTCCTCACTGACGTGCGAATATTACTTTCTCAGTCGATGTGTTACTCCCACATACTTCCCTTGACACAAATTAAGTACTTTTCTGTCAGCCTGTGCTTTGGCATCAAATAATTACTCGAATTTTAAGGTTCAAAAAGGTAAAACATTCAAAAAAAAGCTGAGAAAGTCATGTTTACTACTGTGTTATATCACCTTTTCTTTTTCCAACATTCAATAAATGTTTGGGAACTAGGGACACAAATTGTTCAAGCTTTGTAGGTGGAATTCTTTCCTATTCTTGCTCGATGTACATCTTCAGCTGTTCAACAGCCCCGGGTCGCAGTTGTCGTTTTTTTTTTTTTTTTAAATGCTTCGTGGATGGCGGCATATGTTTCTCCAAAACCTTTATGTACATTTCAGCGATAATGGTGCCTTCACAGATGTGTAAGTTACCCGTTCCATTGGCACTAACGCAGCCCCATAACCCCATCACACATGCTGGCTTTTGAGCTTTGCGTCCATAACAGTCGGAATGATTCTTTTACTCTTTGGGCTGGAGGACACAAGTTGCACAATTTCCCCAAACAATTAGAAATATTAGACTTTTCAGACCACAGAACACTCCCCCTCACACTTTGCGTTAGTCCATCTTAGATGTGCTTGGGCCCAGAGAAGCCGGCGGCGTTACTGTGTGTTGTTGATAAATGGCTTTTTGCTTTGCATAGTGGAGTTTTAAGTTGTACCTATGGATGTAGCGCCAAACTGTAACTACTGACATTCGTGTTCTTCAGCCCATGTGGTGATATCCTTTACACATTAATGTAGGTTTTTGATGGAGTGCGGCCTGAGGGATCAAATCAATCATTCAATGTTGTTTTTCAGCCTTGTCGCTCGCGTGCAGTAATTTCTCCGGATTTCCTTGAAACGTTCTTTTTGATAATTTTTTGGACCGTAAATGATGAAATTTCCAAATTCCTTGCAATTGTACGTTGAGGAACCAGAATATTTTCTCATGCAATTGTTCACAAAGAGGTGAACCTTGCTCTACCTTTGCTTGTGAATGACTAAGTCATTCAGGGAAGCTCCTTTTATACTCAATCATGACACCAACCTGTTTCCAGTTAACTGTTCACCCGTGGCATGTTCCAAATAAGTGTTTGTTGAGCTTTCCTCAACTTTCGGTCTTTTTTGCCATATGTCCTACCTTTTTTGGAACGTGTTGCCACCATAAAATTCTAAGTTAATGAGTGTTTGTTAGAAACAAAGCCACTCAGTTTGAACATGAAATATTATGTCTTTGTAGTGTATTCAATTAAATATAGGTTGAACATGATTGGCAAATTATTGTACAGGTGTTCTGTTTTTATTCGTGTTTAACACAACGTCCCAACTTCATTGGAATTGTATTTGTGCGTGAGCCATTCAATTTCTCCTTTAAAATGTTATGGACTATCGTTTTATTATTTTGTACCTATTTTGTTTCCAGTGGCCAGGGAAGCTTGCTGCTGCCTTTCATCTACTATCGCTTCCTCAGCCTGCGCTATACATCCAGAAGAAACCCGTATTGCCGGTAAGAGAGCTACAAAATATCTGTGATTGCTCTACTTTGGTCTCCATTGAGGGTTGCCTATTTTGTTATTTCTTTGTCAGCACTCTGTTCACCGAGCTGCGAATCCTCCTTGAGCACTTCATCATGAAGCCTGCATGCCCCGCCTTCTTCCGTAGAATGTGCCTCAGCAGCATCGCCTTTGTCAGTCGCTTGGCCCCCACCGGAGTCTGAAGTCCTTACCATCCCACCTACCTCCGACTCCCTTTTTTGTGTTCGGCCGCCGCCGAGTACGTGACTTCCGTTTTGGATGAGGACACACTGGCAGCAACATTGGAGGACATTTTGGTTTTATCGTTGCAATGACAACTTGACAGCGTGCTCCAGTTCCAGACTCAGCAAGTAATGCACTGAAGATTTTTTTTGTGGGGTCCTCGTCCTCTTCCTAATGTCTCAAGATGACCTCACCAAACTGGTGAACCCCCCCCCCACACACACACACTCTTTTGTTATGCCAGAGCACATCAGATATCTTAATGTCATCCCGCGACCTTATTTATTCACTGATGTTCCGAGATGAGTAACAAAATGATCTTATGTAAACTACAAGTTGAATCATTGTCAGAAGGGGAAGGAGGCAAAGATGATGATTTGTGTGTAATGAATATTTAGTTTCTTTTTGTCTATATGCTCTTTAGAGGCCTAATTTCACTCCTTTTTGGATGTACAAATGTCACATCTGCTGTGTTTTATAGAATAAGCATAAACAATGGGACATAATGCTGTTGGATTTCCTTTTCAAATGAACTCCATGATGCATGTCATCAGTTAAGTGGAGGCTGCACCGCTTTTCAGTGCATTGATTCAATTCCTTTTTATTTTTAATGCATTTACTATCATTGTACTAATACTTTTCGCTTACACCTGCCCTGATTTCTTTCTCCCATGTTGACTGTGTCCATTTGCCTACAGACGAACCACGTTTTTATCATGAGATGAGCACTTAACGATTATGAAATAAAATGTTGGAAGTAATACTTGGCACTGATTTCATGCTATGGTTACTACGCATTCCAAGAAAGATTCCGCTGTTCTCCGACTGCGGAAGCAAACTAACCAATCAGGAGTCGTCTTGAATATATATTGTTCAAATGGTATCCAATGACTGCACAGGTTATTGCAGGCAACGACGTTGCCATGGAAGCTGGTTTAAGCGTAATGCCTCGTTGCCCTACACTCGTCTCTACTTCGACCTGGAAGATGCTTGCTTTTCCATTCACCAGCTGTATTTTACTTTAATTACGACTCGTTGTCGTCTTTTAAGTACTTACTCGCCCACTCGTGTGAGTACATCGCAAATGATAACTCGCTGACTAGCCATCGTTAGCGTGTCGAGCTAATCTTCTTTGAGTGGATAATCCTCGTCTCTTCAATCCTCTCCTCTTTCAATGTTTCATTTCAAATGTTAGCAGTGACTTGTGACTGACGATTGGACCAATTGCCTGCCACTTTTGTGGCCAGATAAACATCTAATTTGGCGGCCTGTGTCTTTATTTTCCTCCGGAGTCAAATTGCCCCAAATAAAGATGGAGATTAATCTAAATCGAGTTGACTATATCCAGGTAAATATTCTCTATATCTCGATTATTAGTATGTTGAAATTTAAGAATCTGCACGTACTATACTGTGTCAAATTATTCATCGTCATTTACAGGTTGGCGTAACATCCCAAAAAACAATGAGGCTGCTGCCAGCACTTGGAAAAAAAACCACCCAGAAGGTATCATCAATGTATTCCAATTCAAACGGATAATTTTGCATGTATTTCAGTAAAATAAGTGGACAAATGATGTAGTTTCATGTCATCGTTGTTGCAGGTAGCTGTTGCTGACAATGATGGCATCTTGACATGTTTTGGGATGAAGAAGAGCGAGGCAGTAGTGAGTGATTTTTTTTCTCCCCCCCCCCCCCAATTATGTCAGTGCTTTATTTTGTATATATTTTGTTGCTAACATAATACCATGTATCCAAGCCTGTCTTCAAAACACTCCCGGGGCAGAAAATATCCCGAATGGACCTAGGTGGAGCGGCTGGAACGCCGCAGGAGAAGATCTTCGTCTGCTCAGGATCTCAAGTGCGAGGATTCACCAAGAAGGGCAAACAGTTCCTCACCTTTGACGCCAATCTCACTGAGAGCATCAATGCCATGTAGGGAGAAACTCCATGAAGATTTTAGGCCTGAGTAACCTATGACTCGTGGGAAACATAAGAACATTTGATCTAGTACCATCCATCCATCTTCTATACCACTTCTCCTTAGTGATCAAATAAAATGGTTGTGGGTGGAAAAATAGTGCCTGCACCTGACATAAGAATCACAATGTATCCCATTAGAAAGCTGGTGGATTTTGTAGTTTCCAATGCAAACCAGGCTTCTGCAGAGCTTGCCGATGAAATTTGAATCAGGTGTGTTGGAGAAAGGGAACATCTAAACCATGCAGGATAGTGACCCTTGAGGACCGGATTTTGACACAGCCCTGTCCTAGGATCTAGTACGGTCTGATGCTTGAACAATTTGGAATTCAGTCAAAAATATTTTTTTTAAAAACATGTTGCCTAAAAGTGTGTGATTAACAAAAAAAACCCGAACCAGGTTGAGACACGCATTGAATGTCTGGGAGGAGCTAAATGTATCCTTGGTTATGAGTGGAAATGTCACTCTCTACCGCATGTGCCTAAATGTGTACTTCAAGTGCTTTAAAAAATGTTTACTGTACGTAATTATTTATTTTCACCGACAATCCTCATCATTCTTATTCAACAAGTGTTACGTATTTTTACATATTGAAAATACCTGGTCCGCCTCCCCACCATTTCATCCTTTGTCCCACGCAGGCATGTGTCTGGCGCCGACCTCTTTGTGTGCGCCAGCTACATCTACAATCACTACTGCGACTGCAAGGACCAGGACTACTTCCTTTCAGGGGACAAGATCAACGACATCGTCTGTTTGTCCTCGGAGAACCTGTCTCGCCCTGTCCCTGTGCTGGCGTGTCAGGATCGCGTTCTCAGGGTGCTGCAGGTAGATAAAGCTCCTGCTAGTCCTGATTTTCCAGTATCAATGATGTCAATATATATTTTTTCCCCGTTTACTTCAATTTGTCAGGGATCTGAGCTGGCCTACGAGGTAGAGGTGCCCGGACCTCCATCTGTGCTAGAACGCTACAACAAAGATGGAGGCAAGTTAGTCCCCATTTGATCAGATTTCTTGACAGTTGTACTTGCGGTATGTTATTTCATTTTATTTTACAGTTTAATATTTTCCTTAAAATGTAAATAATCTCTTAGCTGCTATATATTAACTACCGTCCAAATAAGACATTTCTCATGAAGACCGTTGCAGCAAGTTCCATTCACCAGGTGTCACTGAAAGCTTTCTGTGGAAACATTCCAGGCAACAACAACAAAAAAGCGAACGGAAAGCCAAGCACAGTTATGGAGTAAATTCTTACATGCTCATTGAGTTTGAAGTCTTGCATCGATCTTAATTCTGAATTTTGTTTAATCTTCGAGAAATATTTTAAAGTTGGTTAACAAATCTGTAACACACAAACTTTATGTAACATCTGATACTGCATTTTTTTTCACGTGGTTGTTTTCATGTGGTCCCCAACTGAATTATTGGAACTTTCTCTCTCTCTCAGGAGAGGACATCCTGTACGGGACAACGGACGGCAAAATCGGCCTGATTCACATTGGCGAGGGTTCTGCGGCGACCAAATGGGAGATTGACAACGACAAAAAGAAAGGAGGTACTGTCCTATGCTGTTTACGTAATGGATCTCATGTGCGGCTGTCCCTAATAAAGTGGCCCGCGATACGGTGCTATTTCAAGGAATTCTCTGCCTCGACGCCTATGACATCACGGGCGACGGTGTGAGGGACGTCCTGGTGGGCCGCGACGACGGGACGGTGACCGTTTACAGTTTTGATAGTGGCAACGAGCCCGCACTACGTTTTGAGCTTGTGAGGGGTCTTTAAATCTGGACTTGATGAGTCAGCGTCATGTAACAACTTGTAATTTGCGTCATTTGCTTGGCACAGGCTTTGTCAGAAAGCGTGACCTCCATCCAGGGAGGCTGTGTGGGAAAAGAGTCCTATGACGAGATCTTGACTGCCACCTACACAGGTGACATCCCAATGAGACACACTTTTTAAGCCGCATACCCCCAGTTTCCTGCACACATCCTCATTAAAAAAAATTAAAGCATAAAGTAGTTGTTCACCTCACTTTTTAAGCCTTTCAAAATCTCCACATAATTGGCACATCACCTCAACCCTCACATACATCAGAAGGAACAAAATATAGTCTCTTGCTCATGTTTAAAGTTCCACACCACAGTTAACACTGGATGGAGTTGGCACACCCCCTCCACCCCTGCACACATCTTCTCAGAAAAACAAAAATTGCCAACATAAAGCAGTCTTGCCCACACTTTTTAAGCTACTAATCAAGCATTATTTTCAATCATGCACACATTATGTCCACGCTAGTTCACCTTAAATTGAAGACTGATACCCTTTGCCATTGAGTAAGTACACTATAAATGAATACATCCATCCAACATGTCATTATCGGTGCATGTAGGAAAATCACCCCCTTTCTTTAGTGTCAATCATAAAGTGTATTCTGGCACAAAAATCAAGACCTTTTGGGGCTGTCTTGCATGTTTTCAGGTTGGGTGACAGGTTTGACCACGGAGCCACAAAAGGCTGAAGTGGGTGCTGGAGATGAGGTCAGGATGAGTAAGGAGGTTCAGTCCAAAGTGGAAGGTCTCAGGTAAACGCCGCCATTGATGACTTTGGTCTATCGAGCGAGATGTGGAAATGCGAGCCAATCTTTCACCGCAGGGCGGAGCTGGAGCAGCTCCAGGTCAAAGTTCAGCTGGGCCGCGAGCAGTACCAACAGACATCACTGTCCAAGACTGCCGTCTCCGTGGTGCCTGCCTTCAGCATCAACGACAAGTTTACGCTGTGCCAGGACGACGCCAGCTACAGCCTCACGCTGGAGGTGCAGACGGCCATTGACAACTTGCTGCTCCAGGTACCGCCTGCTTTCATATAACTTGAAGGGGACATGTTGGGCTTTTTGTTTTTGGAAAGTAAGTACAGCGGTACTTTGACTTACTAGTGACCGTTTGCTCTGCAAATGTTTTCGTCTTGAAATTTTGCAAAAATGTAACTTGTGAGTGTGAGGTGGTGGGAGCAAACTTCACAACAACTAACAGATAGTGAACACTTTTTTCTAATCGGATCAGTGCTTGAGCCAAGCTTCTCATTGAATTTCTGTGAAATTGAACCATAAAAACAGAAAATTACACATAGTGTATTTAACCGAATTGGTAAAAGTGCACTAGCAACACATGCAAACATCATTCTCTTTATCTTCTGCGAACAACAAATCAACTCTACAGTGTATTACTGCAGCTTAATGACTTTTTCCGTCTTGAAATGTTTGTTTTTATTGTACTGCCCCCTGGTGGCCAAGGTATGCGCGCAGAATGAGCTGCATCATGTCAGCGTAGTACTGTATTAAATCATGCAAGCCAATCATGATGCACACGCTGTTTAGTTCTTTACATTCTATTTAATTAAGTGAATAATAGGAATGGGAATTAATGAGACTTTAGCTGTTTCAATCCCATATTCAATCCCTGATTTTTATCAATTTTCTTATCGACTTAACACTGGTTGCGGAGATAAAAACATTGTCATTATTATTATTATATATATATACATATATATATATATATACTTAAACAGATAACTACAATTAAATATTATTTCTTTCAATACTCTCTTCCCTTGAAATTGCATTAAAGGAATGGCAATTTTCACTGATCTGATCTTTTCTCCATTTACATATAAAACATATTTTATATAAAAAAAACAACTGAATTGAGAAAAGATGAATAAAAGTAAAACACTGCGATTGGCTGGCTACCAGTTCAGGGTGTTGTCCGCCGACTGCCCGAAGACAGCTAGGCTGGGCTCCAGCACGTCATCCGACCATTGTGATGATAAGCGGATCAGAAAATGGATGGATAGATGGATGGATAAAAGTAAAAAACATCCATTGGGAAAATACGATTCACAATATCTGGAAGTCCAACTTGTCCCTTTCTCTGGTAGAGCGACGTCCCCATCGACCTGCTGGATGTGGACAACAACTCTGCGGTGGTCAGCTTCAGCGAGTGTGACTCTGAGGTGAACCACGCAGTGAACCTCAAAGTCATTGAAACAAACATCTTTTCTTGTTGAATTTTGACCATTTTGAAACTCTCCTTTCTCCAGCAGCCTAATGGCAACTTCCTGCTGGCCACTTACCGGTGTCAAGCCAACACCACCAGATTGGAGCTCAAAGTAAGTAGAGTCCCCGACATTGACGCACCACCCAAATCATGTACTGTATATAGTGAACCCAATGCAGAGAACAAAAGTCTGCATAAATAATTGTAATAAGAGTTGGAACACCTTACAGAGACCACCAGTATTACCTCAAAACACAATATAACTTCGACTATCGCAGTAGACTCTGTCACATGTCCATTTTGTGTGCGTGTGCGTGTTGTAGGTGAGGTCCATCGAAGGGCAATATGGCACCTTGCAGGCTTATGTCACCCACAGACTGCAGCCCAAGACGTGTCAGGTTCGGCAGTATCACATCAAACCTCTGTCTCTTCACCAACGCACACACAGCATCGACCAGGACAGGTGACTTTCTTTGCTACACCCTTTTATTACATAATACAATATTAGCTAACTTTATGATACTATTTGTTTTGTGTTGTGGATCCAGGCCCATGAACAGGCTGAGTCTGGTGGGACAGTTTAGTTTCGCAGAGATCCACTCCTGGGTGGTCTTCTGTCTGCCGGAGGTGCCGGAGAAGACGCCGGCGGGAGAGAGCGTCACCTTCTACTTCCTCAACACCTTCCTGGGCACACAGTTGCACGCTACTTACAGGTCAGCAACTGTATGAGACAACAACACAATCAGAAACATAATCTTAAATGCATAGCAGGATTTCAAATGCCCCTGTGGGCTGTTTATGGTCGCTCCTATAAAGCAACAGGGATTTGGAGCATGTTTATCTTTATTGTAGTTAACATCACAACTTAATTTGCATTTGATAAGCTAAACATTCAAATGCCAAACTGTTAACATTTGAGCCTCCTTCTTGGGCTTTCAATGCAGTAGTTAACCACGTTAGATGTTTAAGCTACATGTTAGCAAAGAAAGTTTGATCACGTTATCTTCAATTCTTCGTGTTAGGCTTTCAATATAATACTTGACATAACCACTAGGGGTGGAGCGAGTCCTTGAGTAATTTGAGTACCTTGATTTAAAAAAAATGATTAAAATAAAAAATTGTTCAAAGACTTTTTTTCCTGCCTCAGGTACCCGTCAATGGGTATGTACGGTCGGAAAGACAGTCAAGCCAGCTGCAGTCGTTCATGCTTTGCATGACGGTGACTTGACTCATCTTCCCGACTGGAAGTTGGATAGCCCTATTTGAGTTTAAATTGCTATAATGCACTGTTGCCAAGAATATCAACACAACGTCATCATTTATTAAGTGTTATTCCAATTATGTTGCGCTTATATTTTTTTCAAGCAAAGGGGAGGGTCACTTCAAGTCGGACAACATCTCCACCATCTCCATCCTGAGTGACGTCCTATCCAAAGAGGCCACCAAACGCAAAATCAACCTGAACATTTCCTACGGTGGGCTGCGGGTTGATTATTATTCTCCTGCAGTTGGGGGGGGGGGGGTTATGCACATTCAAGTTTCAAGGTGCTGCTGTTCCTCTGCAGATATCAACGACGACTCAGTGAGCCACACGCTCAAGATGATCCACCCTAAATTGGAATACCAGCTGGTGCTAGCAAGAAAAGTTCAGCTCATTGATGCACTAAAAGTATGTCTGAGCATTATGTTTATGTCCATGCGTATCCTATAGAGAAAATGTCAAGAGTTTAGGGCTCCTGAATGTGACTCTGTAAAACTCATCGGGAGCTACCACTGAAAATCTAGGCAAAAAAACGACCTTCACCAAGTGTGAAGGAATTCGGTGGGCATTTCTATCATAACAGGATGCCCAAAAAACTCTCAAGGACACATTCCAGTTGGGCAAAGTCAAAGCACACCATTTTGGTTTTAAAGAATTAAAGGGCTCGCGCGCCAAATTCCTATGAGTGAATTTGCCCCAATCTGAAGCCGGTGTCCAAGACAAATGAATGATTCTTAATTGTAACTTAAATTCATCATCTTCTCATTATTTCTGGTTTTCATGGTTTAGGAGTTAGAGCTTCACGAGGGCAACGCAGATTTCCTGATCGCAGAATATCGCAGCATCCTGGACGAATCGGCCAGTCTGCTGGAGGAGTACAAGAGGCAGCCGGCGCATCTGGAGAGGCTTTACGGTGATACTTCGTCATTCCCATTTGGCATTCGTGTTATTCGTCATTATTATACACTGATTTTGTTTTCTCTTGCAAAGGCATGATCACGGACCTCTTCATCGATAAATTCAAGTTCAAAGGACAGAATGTGAAAGCCAGAGTATCTTCACTATTGGAGATCCTGGATGGTTATGATTTAAATTCATTATTAGACTTTTTCAGGGAGGCTTAATCATGTTGTGTCCATGTGAGATATTTTTGTATTTTTTGCCTATATTTAAACAAGTACGATTTAAAAAAAAAAATAGATATCCACTGCTTTCACTTTAGTTCATGTGATGCTTCAGTATGTTGTAATATATAATTTTCATACCAGTGTGGTGATGAATAAACCACTATATTGATGATTTTACTTTTTTTTGGTGTACATTTTAAATTATGAATAAGACAATTTGTTGTTTATGCTTTGCAACTTCACAACGTAATTTTCTTTTAAATCGGGCAGCCTACTGCCAGGTGGTATTTTTGCAGTTTAACCTCGTCAGGCTTTCAATAGAAATTAATTGACAAAATTATGTATTTTAATATAATTTTCATTTTTAGACCCGATAGAATACTCAAATTACACTTTACATTATAAAACACCAGTACCTTATGTCATATTAGACAAAAATTAAACTAGACAACAGTAAGCCAAGTTATAAAATGACTTGTAAATTCAATATTTTTTCAAATATTTATTACAACGTATGTATGCCCTCATTACAAAAAGTTCACGCCTTTGCAAAAAATTTAGGATGAAACTAAAATGTACAATAAACATTCCAGGTGAACTTCAATTAACCGCTCAACGTGTTTACGCAGGTTGCAAACTTTTACATCAGTATAAAAAAGTGGCGGCCCGTAAGCCACATGCGGGCCCTGACCACACTCACTGGCCCCTGAACTAACCCCTCTATTTGTTTATTTTAACAAACACAATCATGTCTTCATAAAACGCTGATAATCGCCCAATATATCTTCCACAAAAAAAAAAAAAAAGCTGGGATAATATCTGGTGATAAATCACAATATGTGGTTATTTTGTTACTTGCTTCAAACCCATTGTTGTTGGGTTCGGATAATGGGTCTTTTAGACAATGAATCCAGAAAAGTATTATGAAAATGAAACATACTGTATTAAGAAAACATTTACACATCGGCACGTATTTTATCCATATTTATTATGGCATTTGGGCGGCCCGGTAGTCCAGTGGTTAGCACGTCGACTTCACAGTGCAGAGGTACCGGGTTCAATTCCAGCTCCGGCCTCCCTGTGTGGAGTTTGCATGTTCTCCCCGGGCCTGCGTGGGTTTTCTCCGGGTACTCCGGTTTCCTCCCACATTCCAAAAACATGCATGGCAGGCTGATTGAACACTCAAAATTGTCCCTAGGTGTGGATGTGTGCGTGGATGGTTGTTCGTCTCTGTGTGCCCTGCGATTGGCTGGCAACTGATTCAGGATGTCCCCCGCCTACTGCCCGAAGACAGCTGGGATAGGCTCCAGCGCCCCGCGACCCTAGTGAGGATCAAGCGGTTCGGAAAATGAATGAATGAATGAATATTATGGCATTTGTGTCATACATGTGGTTAGTTCAAGTTCAAGCAGTGGCGGACCCTCGGGGCCAGCAAGGCCTTCTCTGCTGGCCTAAACATTCTCAGAAAAGTAAATTTACTTTTATGTATTTTATGTTATTTTATAATTTGTTATTTTATTTTCATAAATATGTAAACAAAATTATTCTCTGTATTCTTTACGTCATATTATTTCCACTTAGTTGAGTGGCTTTCAATGTTATTTTAAATAACATTGAAAGCCACTCGATAAATAACTTACTTATTATGGTAGAGTTTTTAACCAATCATATTTCAGCTAGCTTGCGTTGCCAGGTAAATTAAACTTGCTCGGGGCCTTCAGATTAAACAGAGCAGGCCCCTGTGTGCTGTAAATGAACGGGCACAGTCAGGTTTCAATAGCCAATCAGATCACGAGTCTGCGCACCGGGGCCAGCTAGAATGCCTTACGTCGAGACTGGATGTGCGCGTTCGGTGATTGGATTAGCGCCTGCTCACAGCCTCTGAGAAACGCTGCAAATTGTACTGCTGGGAATGCCTATTGCTTGCAACTGACCGATTTGGTGTTTGGAGCCACACCGGATTTACCAATTTAAGTTGTTTTACCAAGGCACCAAGGAAACATCAGAGCACGGCTGGGCGCTTACAAACTACGGTGCGTTTAAAAACATTTGGGGACACTCGCGTAGATCTACAGCTCAGTGAACAGGCACTACATTGGTGAGTAAATGAATTTTATTTTACATTTCTTCTTGTCATTTTAATTCGTTAGTATTAAATTAATGGTAACGAAATAAAATGACGAAGATACAAAAATGTATCAAATAAATCTGATCAACTGCAATTTATAATGGCGCATTGTAGTCACCTTTGTGCACTAAAGTTCGTTCAATCTCAGCTGCTCAACATAGTCAGTTATTTGCTGTTGTATAGCCTATTCTCAAAATGCAAATGATCTGTTAACTTTATTTTCAAAGAATAGTTTGTTTTGTTATTGTTTGGTTGGTGTCTTATATGAAACTGCGACATTGCGCAATTTATTGGACAGACTTGTTTAAGATCACACAGCGTAATTTGGGTCAAGTCAACTTTATTGTCAAATGTGCGACATGTGCAACATACAGCACAGATTAAATTACTTTCCTCTCAAACACAGGAGAGAGAGGAGCCACCATATAAAGAACAGTTAACATAAAATAACAAAATAATACAACGCAACACACAGACAGTCATGCAATCCCAGTCACTTTTTCTGCAGTACGCTTTGTTGTTTGAAGCAGCCCAGTAGATCAAAGACATCATGCTGAAAATGTGCACACGTCCGCTACAAGCTAAGTTTGAAAGCAACAAGAAGCTGTAGCGTCCATTGATGAAAAAGAGATTGGCTGGCATCTCCTGTCCCATGTAAATCCGCTTCAATTCCAAGCCGCGACTCCCAGTTCCACATATGCATCGGCACTGCTTGGACGCTCCTTTCTTCTCATCGTGGGCTCCACAAGTCATCCATCCATCCATCCAGCCGCAGACTGTCCAACAGCACAGACATTTCCGCTGAACACAGTGGGGCTGTGAAAAATGTTCCCCATTTCAGGCACAAAAAACACAAGCGCCCGGGGCTGTCCAGCAACGACAGTCAGATGGCGCCGACATGCCTCCCAATCAAATAAGTGCTGGTACGTGCATGCTGCCGAGAAGGCGCAACCACCAAGCACAGATTCTTCTTTGACGAATGTCGTGGCCAAAAATGCTGAAAACAATCCACATCAGGTCCACACAACGAAACAACAACACCATGTGACAAAACAAAACACAAAAACAACAAAACAGCAAGGCTCTTGAAGAGCACTTGCCGACAGCTGCCTACTCGGGTGCCATTTTGGGAAAAAAAAGTGGAAAAAAGTTAGGAAGTGCGTGGTCATATGTGGGCCATGCAGTCACACTGATGAATAATTTTCACCCCCCTCCAGCATTTAATTTGGCCACCCCTGATCTACATATGATCTCTTTCTAAGTTAAAATTTAACCGATTTGAAAAGGGGCGTGAATGGGCGGGGGGGATCTTGATCTGGAATTGTTACGGAAAGTGGAGTCAGTATTTTTAAATGATTTAAAATAACTCCACATTGGCCGTTGTACGGTTACGTGCTTTTAACCGCAAACCGGTTTTGAATTTGCAATCAATTTTGCTTGTCCCCGCTTGGTTGCCGTCGACGTGTGACCTCACCATAAAGCGGACTGGCGATTGGCCCGTTTCAATCCTCGCGGGCTGCTTGAATACGAGAAAAGCAAGCACAAATTCAAGAGAACTGAGTGTGGAAACAGAAAGCGGCACCGGGCGGTGAATCACCTGGCAGGTTGGTGGACTCCGAAATTATGGCACCTTAAAAAGTTCTGGGACTGGTCAAAAACTTTGCTCGTTTTATCGCTTTCTTGCCCCCGAGTATAGTAGCTCTTTCAAGTAATCATAGGCTCTTCGGGTGAAACCGCGCTTTCATCTCCCACAAGGTCGCAGCAAACTTTCACCTCCGTATTGTCTTTGATATCGTTGCCACACCGCACCCCCTAAAAAACTACTAAGAAAGCAGCTGCCGTACTTCACTGGTAGTTTGAGAGGTAGAATTTTAGAGGCCAAGTCAAAGCATGTCTGGCGCAAACCGGAGCCAAACCAGCGACCTCCACAACCAAGAAAACATGCTGGCAAGACTGCGATGTTCGCTGAAGCCCCGGGCAGCTGACTTGGAAAACCAGGAGAACGTTCCGCCCAAACCGGCAACCACCAGGACCGTGTTGGGGGCTCTGCAGAACAACCAGAGAAGCAAATCCCAGAACCAGCGCGCCCACAAGAAGGTCAGTTAGGCTCGCTCCCCGTTTGTTGTAGCCTCGCCAGTTAGTTAGCTTGCCAGCTAAGCTAAATATCCTGTATGGAGCTTAAAAAAATAAAAATCGAGGTCGCACTGTCATACTTACTCCAATGCCATAATTGAGTTGAGTGTTTTAACTCTTGCACGGCGCCTGTTATAAGCGTGAAAATGAGTTTGTTTGCCAAGTTCATATGATTTACCACAATCCTTTGTCCGCCATTTTATAACTCCCATACTTCATGAATTCGCTCTGCGGTGTGACTTCATTTTTAAAACATGAAATCAATTCCAGTATGCCTTGAAAGAAAACAATTCCACGTTACTTAATTTGAAATTGAACAAAAGTGAATATCAGAAGCATACTATACATAATCGTTTACCCTCTCACTGTCCCTTTAAAATAACGAGAGGAATAAGTTTGTCACAATGTGGGCATTGTGATATGAACTTATTGTCCAGTATGTCACGCTGTCTTACTTTAACTACACTATAAAGTCAACGCCTTTACTTAATCAGAAAATAAATTCCCATTGGGACGCAGGTCTCTTTCAAGGGTAGTCTGCTCAATTAACAATGTATGCATTAAAGTAAGAGTAGAAACATTTTGGTTTCAATCAGAAAACCTCTGCCGACTGTGATCCACCCAAAATAAAGAGTTGTAAATTATGACCAAATGTACAAAACGCAAGCACAACACAGGTAGATTTACTAAGTCAATGTGGGGGGTAAATGCCCCACGTCACAGTGGGAGCAATTTAGATTAGGAAATTAGTAATAATGTGCTTATTTTTAAGAAGTTGAAGTTGCTGTAAGTTTAATTTTTCAATCAGAATCCTGTTGATACTTAACCTAAACAACAAATGTGAGTGAATTTTATATTTAGTTTTGGTCACGTTGCAAGCGCTTTCATTATTTGCTTGACTTGCCTTTATATGGCT